GGGCGTCGGGTGCCGGGGCCTCGGCTCGCTCCCTGCGGCCTAGTGCCAAGTCCAGGCCCCCTGACCCTGTGCCACCACTTTGGGCTTCACCTCACATCACGCAGCCGTACAGAGACGTTCTGGGGTAAAGGCATCCCCTCCCAGGTTATGCTGCAACCTGTTGTTCCCAGCCTGATGACGGCCACATTCCCTTATTATTATGTATGATCTATTACATGATGTATTACACATTTTTATGGTCTCCAATTATACCCAATTAGGGAAGCACACCTTTCCCTTGGAGGAGCTGGCGAGGGCTCCGGGGAGGTTACAAAATGCAGAGAATATCTGAGTCATGCTGCTACCGGCAAGCAGAGCTGGGCCAGGACCGTACTTGGAGCCTGATGAATCACTTCAGCTTAATAATGCAGTAGGAAGCCAATGTAGCAAGCTATTAAGGAAAAAATAATAAAGCAAAGTTGAGCTTTTTTTTTTTAAACCAATAATGACAGGCTAAAAGGCTGTGGCTTGAGAGAAAGGATGGCAGCGGAGCCAGCGTTTCCATCAGCAATACCAGCGGACCCACTCAGGCCTTGGCCACATGCCATGGAGGAACTCAGCTCCCCAAAACCCAGCATTTCACCTCGAAAGGTGGGGCACAGCTGCCCTTCCTCCCCGGAAAGGGAGCACGCAGCTGAAGCTGGAGCAGCCAGGGCAGTGGGACCAAGGGCCACAGCTCTGATATGGTATTTGGGGTTCCCCGCACGGGCAACGAACCACCCCAAGGCCGATTCCCATAGAAGAAGGGGTGGGGAGTCCTGGTAGAGCTCAGCCCAGCATGGGCTGGGCTGGAACTAGCAACAGGAGACAGGGCAGGACAGGGCAGGCACCAACGCGGCTTTGCACCACACAGGTTTCAGGAAAGCAGGACTCGGTGCGCAACGCCGAGGCTTGGGAACGGCCGCACCAAGGGCGAGGCCGCACGGCATCGCCTCCCCGGCTCCCAGCACCGGCCCCCGGCCGCCCCGCGCTTACAGCGCGGCACCAAGCCTCTGCTCTAGAGGCTGAGGGGGCGCCAGCTTCCCGCGCCTGGCAGGGACAGGCAGCAGCTCGGCCCCGCGGGGGAGGAAGCCTCTGGTCTCCCAGCCCAGCGTTGCTGGGGTCTCGCACCCGCAGCCCCCCGGTTCGACGAGCCCCCTCTTCAAGGCATTCAGAGCCTGGGCCCGAAACACTGGCCCAGCGCAAAGAGTGTACTTTAGAAAACGTTTCCTGTTTAAGTTAATTTAAACAACAACAACAAAGCTTTCAATATAAGAGCATCTGTATTAAAAATACATGATTTTAAGAAACCTACTGCCACAGCAAGAGGCTGTGCAAACACACCCAGTGTCCCCCAGCCCCACGCGCCACCGAGGAAGCTCGTGCGCTGCCCCGCAGCTGCGGGCTCCAACCATCGGACTCCGCAGCATGAGGCCACGGACGAGTCTGCCAGGTGATCAAATTACCGCAGCTTAACGAGTTACTGCTGGTCAGCAGAGCCACGGTACGTAATTGTCCATGTGCAGATTCCCAGCCACCCCCCGCCACTGCGGAGGCGACTCTGCAGACCCAAAACCACAGACAGCGGAGGCGGATGGAGGCATGCACTCCGGGACAGTTTTCAGTAGAGACTGAAGCGTTAGAAACTTGGTCCCTAACAATTCTCAAAAAAAAAAAAAAAAAAAAAAAAAAAAACACATTTCCAGCTTTGCTGTCCTTCTAGAGAATTACATGAGAGCAGCCTGCTAAGAGCTTCACTGTTGGCATTAAAGAAACCACACACAAACACACACGCACACACAGGAAAATCATGCCTGGTCCCTGCGACAAGCTCCCAGGAGCAGGAAGAGATGCTGAAGCACAGCAGAGCTGGTGTGGCAGAGCTCAACGGCTGCCTCTGCCGTCTCCCGGCCGTGCTCCCCTGGACGCACCTGGCCAACGTGCCCCCTTGTCCCGCGCAGGAACGTCCCCAAGAGCACAGCCTTGGGCAAACCCTACCCACACACATGGCAGCAGCAGCACTTTTTACTTTACCCGAGGGCGCATGGGCAGCTGCCACTTGCCAAGGGCATCCAAGCGCTGTCACGCCAGAAGAGCTGCAGGGGCTGTTTGCTGGACGCTGCATTGAAACACATTATCTTGACTGCGTAAGAAGACACCGTCCACTCCACAGTACTTGAGCATCTGCCTCCTTCCAGCTGCAAGCTCCCAGGCTGGACACGGGAGAGTCACGATTCCCAAGGGCTGTAAGAAATGGCCACTCTTCTCTAGAAGCAGGGTCTCCGTTTCTTCACTCAGAAAAATAGATTCATTAAAAAAAGAGTTATAAAAAGAGGGAAGGATGAAAGGAAAGATACTGGAATGTTGCTGGCAGTGGGGTCTGTACATGAGATGGGGCTAGGGACAACGGCATCCCGCTCAGTAGCTCTCCTCCTCATGGTAGTAGTGGTACCCCGGCGGGTCCATGCTCTGGTCACAGGTGGCGTTGGCCACATCGCTCTGGTTGCCCTGTGGGCAGTACTTGGGGTCATAAATCTGGCGGCCCAAGCCAAAGACCTGGCCACTCTGGTTGGCCCCCTGGTTGGAGCCCATCTGCAGGGACATGGAGGAGTTGTCACACTTCTCGAGGCCCATCTTGGCATCGTAGATGTGTCTCCTGGTGCCAGGAGCTGTCATGCCCACCTGGAGGAAAAGGATGGAGCAAGGCTCAGACGTGTCCCCCCACTCCTGCCACAGGCTGGCCCCAGACCCCTGGCACCCTGGACACCCAGGCTCACCTGGCTGGCACACTTGTTGGTGCCCATCTGGAGGCTGATGGTGGAGTGGTCCATGGGAGGCAGGATCTGGTTCTTGGGATCATAGAGGTGCCTCCTGGTGCCGTAGGCCGTCATGCCGGACTGGCTGGCACATTTGTTAGTGCCCATCTGGAACAAAGGGTTCCAGTGGGAACCGAGCTCCCCCTGCCGAGGCCAGCTCACCCCACGGCCCAGCACCAGCTCCTCCTTCCCCGTTCTTCCCCTCCCAGGCCCAGTTTTCCAGGGCTCTTGGATTTTGAGTGCTGGGGTTTGGACACAGAGCCAAGGACCATTCCCGTTCCCAAGGACATTCAGGGCGTCTCAAGCCTGTGGCCCCCCCAGCCATGTGCAGAGCCACCAGCACGGATGCTGGGGGTGTGATAAAACGGGGCGCTCCCTCGGCCTGAGCCTCGATACCCCCAGCCCCAGTGGCACGGGCGGGGAGCCCACCTGCAGCCCGATCACGCACTGCCCAGCCTTCATCTTGGCCTCGTCGAAGTTCCTCTGCTGCTTCTCTGAGTACTTGACGCCGATGTCCACGCCACTCTGGATCCCCTTGGTCTTGGCCTGCCGGAGAGGGCGGTGAGGAAGGACAGGGCTCTCACACCGCTGAGCGTCACCCCGGACGGCAGCACCGAGGGGCCTCGCGTACGCCACCCCCAAACCAACACAGAGCGAGC